ACTCATGATTATATGAATATAGGCCTTCATGTGCAGTTAATACTTCTAAAAGAATGTAAAATATTCACAAAGAAACCTACCACACATTATTGAAATCTCCCCCTGTGAGAGGCTGAGGATTCAAACGCATATGAATCGTCTGCTCTTCCATGTGACAGCAATCCTTCTACTTCAGAGTTGCGCAGTCCTGGCTCTCAGTTGTCTACTTCAGATTTTTTTTTTTAGTTACATATTCTAATAAAATGTCTTAAATAGAATTTCCATTATTTGAAGACCATAAAGTGCTTTTGGTGCAGTGGATTGCACCTACATACACAGGCACTAGTAGATATTTTGGCACATCTTGCTGAAGATAGCATGAGACAGAGATGATGATGATGATGAAAATAAAAAAAAACAAGCAACCAAACAAACCACAATGAAAAGAAAACCCACAAATTTAAGCCTGCTAACTGTCTGAGACCCAAGAAAAGGGATTTCTTTGTTCTTACGAGAACATCTTGGCTCGTTCTGCTCCTTTGGCTTGGTTTGGGGAGGATGTATTTTACAGTCCTCCCATGATACTTGGCAAATCTAAAGCTGTCACGTTGGATCCTGCTTCTCTTTGTATTAAAAGAATGTCTATGGTGTTTATGTTATGGGGGAAAAGTGCTATTTCTACTTATTGTATTTTCATTGTCTGTTTTCTTATGACTGTACTGTTTACCAGCAGCCGAGGGGCCACTTTGATGGTTGCTTTGATGCTGTAGTTTATTGTGTTGCACAGTTGAGCCTATGGTTTTCCTTTCTAATCAGAGCTGGTGTACTGGGTGAAAAAAAATAAAAATAAAGCTTTTCTATAATTACGGTTATCTCATGGAGTCTGCATTTTTTATAGCTGCTGAGACGCTGGAAATCGGTATTTGTAAATACTGATATATTCTGATTTGTTTTCAATCTCAGAGGTGTTTTTTGTCTGTTTCTGTTTCTCACCCCTGGCCACTCATGCAAGCAGGCTTGCCGACCTGCATGCTGAGCAGCTATTGCCTCAGGAAGATACCAACCTGCATGTGTTAGCCGGGTTATTTGCATGGTACAACCTTCATCTTGTTCCCTCTTCTCACTCTAAGGGATTAGCATCCAAAGAAAACCAAATTAATCTTGTATCAGTTCATCCAGGAAAGTGAGTAGGCAAAATAAGCAGAACATTGCTGCCGACAGCAGGGACAGAGAGCAGCCCTCCAGGGATGGGGTGTGCTGCGTGCTGCCCACCTCCACTGCACTGCTCTCACAGGTACATGGCTTCACCACGGGTTCTGGTATAACAAGACTCTCCTGTGCCCATAGAAAGACTCACTTGCTGGCTCCTTCTTTGCCCCATGCTCCATGTGGTAGTGACAGTCAGGACTTGTATAATACCCACTTGGATGTATCTATTGCTTTTCTCCATATGTCTCGTGACCATCTGTGGACTGATGAGGAACCACTCTGTTTCCATTTTACTGATGGAAAAGGAAAGACTTTGAGAGGCTGAGTGATTTGTCCAGGATGATACAGCAAATCAATGGGAGAAGAAAGGATCGGGCCATTCCACATAGTAGTGCCATTAACTGCCCCATGGGCTTCCTGGGGGAGGCATGCAGGTCCCCAAAGAGGCCGCTTCCATTGCAGGAGCGTTCCTCCATTATATCTGTCAGATGATTGCTATGCACAGTGGAGAAATGCAAAATGTATTATTCATCTCTCCTACTCATAAAATCAATACCTATCAAAATACAAATACAATTTAAATCAAAGGGCACTTGTTGAGTGCAGATCCTACTAATTAGGTATGATTTTCCAACAATTTCTTAAATTATTTATCCAAGGGATGGGTAGCAGGCATTTTATATGTCCCAGAGTGAATATTATAAACCTCTTGTCATGATACAGCAAATGTGAAACGTAGTGCGATGCAGTGTGATTTGTAACCTTGATGAACTAATGTAATATCAATAGACATCAATCGTGCAAAAAAGATCTGTGTCATCATAACATCTAGCAAGATATGTCAAAAGTCAATAATCTTGAGAAATGGACACATATCAATGAAGGTTACAGACTGTGCTGCTAGGAATCAATTAAAAATGTAACACCCGCCTGCTATGGAAATTACTAAACACCATCACCAAAAAGGAGGTTTACATCATGCATGGACATTCGCCATAAGAGCAGTTCCCTTCAGGCTGGCTGTAGCTCTGTAAGCAATTTCACTGTAATATAGGGCCTTTTTTTTTATGCTGGTATTTCTTAATCTAGCCCCATAATCAACATGCAGACAATATTTAACTACATTTTTAAAACCTGCACAGAAAAGAGCCAATGGTTTTGAAGATTTTTGTGTACAAATTTGGAAGCAGCTCTCCTGTATAACGAAAGGTTTACAATTGTCAGTCAATAACATAGATCAATGTTCTTAAATTTTTAATCATAAGGATTTTTCTTATGCAGATGCATTGGATCTTAACTTTCATACTTATACTCCCATCCACACAGCAGATCTTAAGATACCATCACACCAGCATTTATCAAGTGAAAATTCTTGGTCCCATCAAATAGACGTGATATCTTCTCACCAAATCATTTCAAATCAGCGATTCAAAAGAACAGTATGAAATACAAGATATGGTTTCTCCCCAATTTTTAAAAGAGAATGATAAAATTTACACTTTCTAAGCATTTTACTTTTCCTCTTGTCATCTGATGATAATTTAAAGGCAAGTGTAGCTTTGAGGCCAAAATTAAATAGTTGAACATGGAGGGAGGTGTTATGACTTCAAAGACAGCGATATGTGAGGGGCTGAAGTAAAACCATCAGAGTAATTCAGAGCTTAAACTTTTAACTTGGTGCTTTCCCCTGTAGCCTTAATGGAGATCAGGCTCCCAAAAAAGCCATCAGGAGCCTGAGCAAAAAGCTGCAGTGGTCCAAAGTGCCTGTGTGCTTCAGCTGCTGCAGGCAGCCTGTGATCATACTGCACCGTCGGCAGTACGCAACTGCAATTGTGCAACCAGGGATGCAAGGCAGAGCTGTAATTCTGAATTTCATGGCATTTTAAAGCACGAGTCAGAATTTTAATGGTATTTCAACCTTCCTTATTAGTTGCACAATAAGCGTCTTTCAGCCAGTGTTCTGCAAATCCCTTCCTGGTGGTCTGCAGAAGACATGGTTTGAAAGTCAGAGCGCTGGACGTTGAATGCTGGGTGTGTGGAAATAGAACAGCCTAAGCTGATGGGAGGAATAAGGGATTCTGAAGAAGCATTGAGTTAAGATAACATTGGATAATAAGGGTAGTAGCAGAAAGTATAAAAAAGCATGCCATGAATACATTGGATAAGAGGATAAATTCGCCTTCAGTTATTCAGCTGTCCTGCTCGTATTTTTGTTGTTTTTTAATTAGCAAAAGTTTGTCTGGCAGAGTTCAATCCCAGAGTGTTTGAGTTATAAGACCTAGCTGCATAAAGTGAAAATAGACAATACTACATTTAATGTTTTTCATTTTCTCATTCCATTTAAATGTGAATGAGCTATAGGGAAGGAGTATCAAACATGCAGATACTGTTTAGTGGTATATTCTTCTTATCTTCATTATTTTCTTCTGCCTAATGTCTTTCATAGATGCTTAAAAAGTGCATGATGTATATGTGATTGTATATTAGTGACTGCAAAGGTTACCTAAATTAACACCATGGACTAATTTTATTTTAAATGGAGGGTAAGAGCACATCTGTTTCAAACAGCTTTGTAATATGCCTTTTGTGAGTTCAGATCAGATACAGTAATGGCCACTTAAGTGAGCTCCTACACACACAACTACTTATTTACATTAGTGCTAAAAAATGCATCTATAAAATGACACTAGCATTTTGGTGCACTGAAATAGGTTCCTCCTCTCCATTCCCCTTGAAGATTCAGCCCTGTATTATTGTTTCATGGATACTAAAGAAAAGCATGTGTTCTTCCCCATGGAGGATGTGTTATTGACTGTATAACTGTACTGGCTAGATATTTTGTATTTTGCTTGTATCCCCCTTCAAAAGAGGCATGACATTTTTTCATAGCTATAACTAACACTGTTTTTCAGCCATGAATTGTTATAATTATATAACATTATGAATATAATTGAGGTAATAAAAACAAAACAAGCAGCCTAGATTATATATCCAGATTGTATTCACAGGTTACAAGTGTGTGGTTTTGCTGTATATCACATTGATTTAGGAAGGGTATAGTTTGGAAATGATCTTGAAAGACACCAGCTGAGGGGCTGTACCTTATATATGAGCCTACATCAAATAGCTCACTTAAATAGGGCAATATGCCTTTTTCCACAGATGTGCTTTTCAAAGATAAAGGTATGTACAGCCCGCAGATATCTGCAGTGGGCAAATCGAAAGTAAACAAATAGAAATGTGTTTATTTGACAATTTTCTAATGTAAATGTTTTTGTCTTAAACTGCAGAAGGATCAAAAAAAAGCTTTGCAGAATAGCTTCTCCATCATGTAGCTAGGGTGGCAGAGGACTGCAGCAGTGCTGCCTTGGCCTCTGTTGAGGTGAAATCTGTACTACACCTGTCATGTGAAACTGGAAAATGCAATTATATTTATTTTTCAAAGAGAAAGCTAAGACATGGACAGAAACCACAGGTCTTCTCTGCATACATAAGGGAACTCTGTAAAAGCTGAGGGGTTGAAGAAAGCTGTGTGTAGGCCTTGGCTAACACCCTAAACCATTAGACCATCCTCACAAAATCTGTGTTTCCAACTCTGTTGCCACTGAAATCTGAAAGCAAACATTAGCAGCCAAGAACATCATGCTAATTAATTGCCTCAGGAGGGCACAATTCCCAAGATCTAATGAAAGATGGAATCCAGCTCCCATATGTCCCATTTGATAGCCCAAGAAAACATGCCCACATTTTTCACAGAAACAGTGACAAATGTCCAACTACTTGTCTCTAAGCTGAATATAACTAATTACCAGGTCCAGAGATGAAAATGGCTGCTCATCAGCACCGAGCCTGAAATGCCAGTGCTGGATCTGTCACTGATGAACCGTTTTGATTCAGAGTGTTGAAGGCATCTTCAGGAGGTGAGAGCTGAGCACCAGAGCACCTCTGTTCTGTCCGCAGAACAGCATTACCTCTGTCTTGCATGCAGCCTACCCTGTCACATTGCTGGTTTATTAAAAAAAAAAATCAAAACAAAATAATAATAATAATAAACAAACAAACAAACAAACAAAAGTTAGCAGGATGTCATGTTCTTGACAAAATACTGGGGAGAAGACAGAGGCATCGATACAGATGTAGTCACAGATATGTGCTGGGGCTGCTTTGCTGTGCTATAGGCTTGTTCTTGCTTGAACTTGAAATTCCTGTAGAAGGGATGTTTATGCCAGAATGACAGTGGTGTGTAGCCCCAGGGAAACATCAAAGGCTGGAGAGCCTCAGCACTCCCTGGAGAGGCAGGCCTGTCTGTCTGTGGAAGCAGAGCCCTGTTTTGACTGGGGGTGTCCTATCTCCATGTGGCTCTAAGGCATATGGAATTGTTCAGCTGGCTTAAAGACATGATGTTTCTTTTCAATATTTATTGTTCGAAGGATCCTTACATGCACGAGAACATCTTGTACTCTGTAAGGACCGGCATGCTGCTGTGGCTGTACCCACAGCTTGCTGTGTTCAGAGAGACGCAGGTGTCATCTCCATGCAGGGGAAGATGGTCCTACTTTGCTGGTGTGAGGTGTTTAGTGTAATTCCCAGGTTTGTTTGAATAAAGTTGAATAATTGGCTTGTTGTAGCAGACCCAACCCCACCACGTGAACATCATTCGCATGTCACAGCAACAGCCCCAATCCAGCTCCCTTGCTCAGAGGATGGTAGGGAACATCTTGGTGATCACTGGGAGCCTCAGTGCAAACAGGGAAACAACAGGGTAATGAGCAGGACTGTGACAGACCTTGGTGTCTAATCCTGGTCTTTTGAGCCTCCCCTTATCCACATCATTAGTATTTGTTAAGTGGTGAATTTTTGGAAACATGCAATATTTTCACTTTCCTCTTTTCCTTTTTAAATATGATTCACATGAAACTGCTAATATGAAAAGAATATTTCAACACCTTGTTTAGTAAAAATGGGCTCAAGGAAAGCAGGTACAAATTGCACAGCAAATTTTTAGCCTAAATATTAAAGAAAATATATTTTATTCTTGTCTATCCTGAGATTAAAGAGAAAAAAAAATAGAGTGGTCAAGGTAAGTAATTGTAGCACACCATCTGTTGTGTATTTCCTCAAGATCTTTCCAGTCGTACAGAATAATGGCATTTCTGAACTTCAATAACTTCCACGCAAAAAGGTACATCATTTTGACAGGACTCAGTAAATCATTTAAAATCATAAGGGCTACCATTATGCAGACTGTGTGATAAAGTTAGAGACAGGGTATTTTTCTGCAATGCGTCTTCAATTTCACTCTAGATTTTCGGTGACATAAAGCTCAAAAGGAGCTCCTGGTACTACTCTCCCAGAGATGAGATCAACACTTATGAGTACATGTTTTGATGACACAGCTCAGAAAATTGAAGGGATTATTATTATGGAAGGACCAAGGTGATAAGTACTGTGTTATATATGAATAACTGTCAATCAGACAAGCCAAGAAAGGTCATAATCCATTATATTAATGTCATAAATGTTACCATAAACTGACATTGAGATGGTAAACTGGGATTCTTGCACTTTTTAAAGTGTTGCTGTTCTTAAATGACAGTGTGTCCTGGAAAGACGAGTATTAATTTTTCTCTCAAAATACAGGACTTTAAAGATTTTCAGCATAACAGAAGTAGTATTTCAAACATTCATATTTTATTTTAAAGAAACTGGCTGAATTGTCACAACAGTATCCAAGATACCATGAACAGGTAAGGGACGAGAAACACAATAATTTCTATTTACTGTCCCCCATTGCTTTATTTGAACTGTGGCTTTCACACCTGCCTCCCTCAGGCACTTCCAGGCCTCTTGCCCACATATTGGGGTCCACTCCAGCTGAGGATGGGGGCAGCAGCAAGGCAGAGGTGGGAGCTCCTGCCCTGGCTGCTGACCACCTGAAGCCAGGACACTGCACCCTTCTGCAAATCACTCCCCTGACATTAATATTTTTTCCAATATCAAATATGAACTGAGGCGATATTCAGGAATGTGTGACAGTGGAATGAGAGAGTGTAAATCATATTTTATATCTTTTGTGTTGCTGAGCATTTTCCCACCCACAGAGAGCAGGCAGCTCAATGGATGTTGCCAGTGCATGGCTCCTCTGAATTCATCCCAGGCTCCCAGAGGAGTATCACCAGGGACAGAGAAAGCAGCCTACTCTCTAATGAGTCTTTCTTCTTGCCAGCACCACTGGGTGCTCCATCCTTTGCTGGCCAGTTAAGAGCCAGGAGGAAATTATTGTCACCTCATGTAAATCTGCTCATAGCATAGACTTCCAAGTGAGAGTAAGGGAGGTGAACTCTGAGCCCACCAAAATCAAAGCCTTGTGTCCACATTCACTAGCACTAAAAATTCTACAAATGAGTGGTATCACCCTGAAGTGTGGGTGCATGGGAGGTAAAATAACTACCCAGTTAGCACTGGACCACTTAGTTTCCAATGTTGGGGGGAATGAAAATGCAAGAGGAATTTAAGGTGAGTTTTCACATCCCATGCAGAGGCCAAAAAAGAAAAGCAGGGTAAGTACTTCTGGAAAGTGCCATGCTGTATTTACTGGCCACATCAGATCAGAGCGATAGTTTTATGTCATACTTAAAATGCAACATGTCCAGCAGACTCATGCTGATGTATGGTTGTGATAACATTGACGTAGGCAGGAGACAGCCACCAGTGAGTCACCACACCACTTCCTTCAGAAGCTAGCTGTCTACGGTAGGCATCCCATTGCACTGCTGATCTAGTCTAGCTTGTAAATTACCCATCTAGTCTAGTTTGTACAATCTACAAATAATCCGTGTTTGTGCTATGCAGGTAAATGTTCAGGGTGAAACCAATATGGGATAACTTGAATTGTATAAATAACTGCAAATCATTACCTCAAATGAGAGCATAATGCCTGGAACCACAGGCAGGAAAATACATTTACAGACTATCAAATTATCTTGGGATAATAGTGTAATGCTTTTCACTGCTGCACTCTGTGTTCTTATAGCTGAGCAAATAATATTACACCTGGAAAAGTCTCCGAATTTCAAAGGGAAGAGATTTCGTAAGCAGAGTGCTTCCACAGGAGAGACTGCCTTTTCTGTGTTATTTTAGGGGAACATTAAAAAACCCCCAATAAACCAAATAAGTTATTTTTTATTACTCAGAGCTACATAGAGTAACATCTGATGATAAACAAAGCCTTTAAACAATTTGTCTTTTTATAATATAACCTGCAAAGCGCTTCCTTGTTCATATGAGGTTACTTCTCTCTGTGATTGCAACAAAACTCTTTTGATCAAATGTGTTTTCAGAACTGGCAAAACAAAATCAAGCTGCTATAGCAGTTTGCATGCACAAGTTCTGTTTGAATATAAAAAATTTTGAGCACATTTTTAGAGAAAAAATGTGGCCTTTGAAATTTTGGAACTAAAGCTATATATGTATATGCCATAGTGCTATTTATGATGTCTGTAGAAGTATATGACACCCAAAGTGCTTTTTGGATGCTCCAAGGTATATCAAAGGGCATTAATTCCAGCACAGCTGGGAGTGTTCCCAGATTCACTTATGAATGCATATTTCTTATATCCTGTATGTTGACTAGAGTTAACATACAGAAAAAAGTTAATATAGCCTTGGTCATGGAGAATAATCCACAGAGTAAGCCTATTAGGTGAGTTTTAGCATCTACATTTTTCTGTTCACATCTGCTTGCCTGACATATGTAATCTGCCTGGATGTCACAGTTTACATCCTATTTTCATTGGAGGATAATGAAACTTGATCGGTGTCTTCATCTCCTTCTCGGTCTCTCCAAGGAATATTTCTGCTTGTCAGCTCCTCCTCACCAGCACTCTCTGGTGTGATCTTTAGCCAGTCCTCTATTAAAGGGTAGTGCACGCAAGGCTTGAAGGAAACCATACAATTTCTCATTGTTTGTGCAAAATGGGTGCAAAACGTGTTACTTCTAAGACAGTAAGAAAATAAAAAGTGATATAGTAATTTCCTAACCTGAATTTTCTGTACTTCCTTTTCTCTCACAAAGCTCTGGCGTATCAGTATTTTAGCAGCACTCAGTCAGTGGTTGCTTTCTGACGACTTATGTTTCTGCTTAAGTCTTACAAAACTGCACTGTAGGCACCTCAATAATTTTAGAATAGCTTAGTCTGAGAGGTAAATTAAAATTATGGAAAATCAGACCATTTCTAATGAGATGGTTATTACACTGAATAATGATGATTATTAGTTCTGCTTAATAAAACTGTCATCCAATGCAAAATATATATTGGGGAAATTACATTACATTATATTTCTATCAACTCAGAAATTCGGTGTGTTGCTTTCCCACAAACCATAGGCATAAGGAAATGTTAGACAGGGCTTCCTTTTCCAAATAGGATCAATCATGGAGCTTTCAGAAACAGCCCTTTAAAGCCCTGATCTAAAGCCCATTAAATCTAATGTTATGAAGATTTCTGCTGACTTCTGTGCCACGTAGATCAGGACTTCGCTAAAGTGAGCAGTGTTCTCTCCCATTGTTTCTGCTAAATACCTAGACAATACTACAGTGGTGACTATTTGACAGTATTGTTAGCCTACTAAAGGAGAAAAACTTGTAGAAACATTTGCAGCCCCCTTGCCTCACTGACCTCATTGGCACACCTGCTGTTCTGTTCTGATGTACCTGGCAAATTAGGAGATGGACTCTACAGGATGAGCTACACTCTTTATTTCCAAGATGAAAACAATGAGGAATATTATCTATTGGCTAAAAATGAGATCTTGCTGTAAAAACCTCAACACTGAAGCCCCAGACGCTTAGAGGTGAGACAACTCCCCAGAAGCCTTTTGGCTGTCCAGAGACACGACTGGCCAGGAAATCTGAGTGCTCAGCATTTTTTTGTTTAAAAGCAGGCGCAATATCAAACCTTGCCTTCAGCAAGGACTGCTGTCCTGAGGAATGAGACCCATCCCTCTGGGAGGGTGGCTGCCTGCCTCTATACTGCTACATCTATATGGCAGTAAACTGCCAAAGGGGAAGGAAGGAAGGAGGGGGGGAAGCCAAGAGTGTGTTTCTGCTACCACACCTTCTCTGTGTAGGGTTTAATCTAAAAGGATATGTTTTTGTGGAATAATTTGATATAAACTAAGCCACATTTTTCTTACAGAAAGGTGTCTATTATAGCTACAACAGTGCATTTTATAGAGTCTAAGAGAGATTAAATAAGCAGCAAACACTGCATGACTCACTATGCATCTGTGCAAACCGACTCAGTGAAACCAGGGCACGGAGGTGATTGGGTCTGTCTGTGGTGCATGTTGAAACCTGGAGAAACATAGATTTTGCCATATAATTTTATTTTTTGAGAGCAATAATGCTCTTACAAAGAGCAATGCATTAAATGAGGATAACATGGTTAATAAGTCATAGCACATGTGGTTCTAAGGTTTTCATCATGCTTTGAAACATGTACTAATCAACAAGATTTCTCCTCTTGTGAAGCCTATTTTGTAGAGTTTCATAAACCAGGTTCAACAGACACAATTTCATTAGCATTATATTGTTGCCATGGTAATGTGGTACCAATTCAATTGATGGGCTTTTCATCCTGGGCTTATTACAGAATTGCTCTTCCTGTCAAAGATACATCTATATGGAAACAGCAAACAGACCTTATTATTGGAGTACTAGCACAAAATATCATCATATGCTAATTTGGATAGGAATGTGTCATGTTATTGGCACCAGACCCAGAAATCATCAGAGACACAATAGAAGTTACTAAACATCATACATGACAAAGTCACACTCCAAAATCAGGAAAGTTACTTGTATTGTTCACTGCAGTACCTGAGTTTGCTATTGCAAAAGCACTTGGCTCTGCTATAATCATTCTCTGAAATGCTGTTGGGAGGGCAGAGTGCAAGTGGTAATATTCAAGGAAACAAAAGTAGTAACACGCCCAAGAATAAAATGTGAGCTGATGGTGTGTTGGTCCTTCTCCTGTTTGAATGTTGTGCAGCAGGTTTTGGGGAAATTGGTACCACATGTGACACCCTGTTTTCCTGGTCTGTAAAACCATGATAATAAACCCTCTCCCCCTGTGCAGAGCAGCTGGTGTATACCAAATAATGAGTGATAGCTGGTACTGCTAAATATTGTTATTAAGTAAAGTAGCAATGTTTTTAACAGTTCTGGGAAAATACACAGTTTGAGAAATGCCACTGGGAGAATCTGGACTCACCCAGGGAAACACAGGAGAGTTGGCAGACCGAGCAGGTAACAGTGCATATGCACCTATGGAGGAAAGATACTCACATCATTAAAAAATCATGACAGTTTGTAGTTTTTTAAAAATAAAGAATATTTTAGGCTACGGGAGAAGTATCTGCAGCAATCTGAGCAAGAAGAGCAACAATACAATATAAGGCAACAGCAGGGTGGCTTGTTTATTGTATGTTAAAACATTTTCTTGTGTATTTTCACTGTTTTTTGATGATTGCTTCCTATTTAGATAGGAAAAATCTTTTTCCATCCTGACACATTATGTTCAGTCTATCGTTTCTTAGCTTAATCATGTTGTATCGTTTGCAGCAGCAAGAGTAAATTACAGACAGGATAGTATTCGGTATAATCAAAGATGTGTTCCATTTTACATGATAAGTTTTGTCTGATTTACAAAGGCAGTATCTTCTCCAGCTGAGTGAGGAAAGAGAGACCTTCACTTGCAGATAAAAAAACTCAGAGAAGAGGCTTCTCCTCCATTAGGAACCTATTGTTCATACAAAGAAAACCCAAACTATTGTTACCACTATTATCTATTTATTTACTTTTACCGTGATGTAGCCACAGGACCCAGCTGAGACTGGGACCTACTTGTGCTAAGCACAGCAAAAACATACAGTGCCACAGCCCCTTCTTCAGACAATTTATAAACTAAAGAGCCATAAGAGAGACCAGAGAGGATAGAAGAATAGAGAGAGGGAGACATAGCTTAAGTAACCGACTGAAGGTCAGAGAAGAAGCGAGTGGCAGAAGCAGCACAAGTCTCCAGTCCCTGTACCCTCCATTGGGTTGCCTGCCCTGTTGGGAGAAGGAGGTATTTGGAGATATCCTCCACCAGACTCTAAGGATTCACACTCTAACTCATGCACAGAGCCATGCTTTACCCCCTAATTTCAATGGCTGCATCTGTGTTGCTGAGCAGGGGCAGCCCGAGGCAAAGCTTGAAGTCCGCTGTGAAGCCCACCAGCATTACCTATTAAAACACCTTCAGGCTGGCTCCAGGGCAACCCTGTTAATCCTCTCAGGGACAAAGGCTCAGGGATACCCTATGTTTTTTAAGCATGTTCAAGGGCACCAGGGTCAGGGTACCTGCCAGAGAAATATTAATGGGTTTCAACACCACAACCGAAGCAATAGGGATCAGGCTTTCTTCCTCTGCAGTAGGGACTTTCAAATCCAAGCCTGAACAGATGGAGGGAGGTGGGGGAAAGAGGGGAGATTTTGGTCACAAGAGCAAGAAGTCAGTTTGCACTAGAATTTGAAAGCTTTGATCAGGAAGCAATGTGATGTCTTAGATTAGGAAAGCATTGGCTTGGAGTTTTTCTTGCTTTCTCCTTCTCTCTCTCCCCCTCTCAAAAATCCATATAATGTAAAACAGTTAAACTGGGCGAAGAGGCATTCATCTTCTGATCGGTAAATACTTCCTTTCACTGTGTGGTGCCTGCTGACTTTACTGCTGTTGCAGCCTTTTAAAATGCTTCCAGGAAATCTCATTAGATTTTAACTTTAATTTTTTTTTCATTAAGGAATCTGAAGAGAGTGTATAATAATCTCAATTTAACTTTTTAATAAAAACTGCAAATAATAGGCTAGCACAGATTTGATATCATATATATATTGGATAAAAATTCTGATTTGTAGTAAGATTTGTTAGCCAGGGGTTTGTTGTCATCATAATAATGAATATAAAAGCTGGCAGCTTTAAAATGGCAATATTACAGTAAGCCTACATTTTTTATAATGGTTTTGTGTTGTGCATTCAGTATTGATGAAGATTAAGATTTAGCATGCAGAAGTAATATCCATTTTTATGGGATTGTCCACAGTGAATTGAGTAGGACATTTGCTTAATTAAAAGTATTTATCTTAGATGATTTAAGAAGTATGTCCTACTACTGAACTGATGATGTAAATTAGTTTCCTATAATCAGTTCACCACTAATGACTCCTTATACTAAAGAGAAGAAGAAAAAAGTAAGAGAAGAGTCAAAGGAAAGTAAAAGATGCCACTGTCTGAGAATTCAATAGAACTTTGGAAATAATGATTAATTAACACTATGCCATGAACAGGAAATCTACATTATTACATCCCTAATGCAAAGAACATAAACAGAGCCCTAAAAGGGTGCACTTCTGGCAGAAAGTTTGGAAATACAACCATAAACAAACGCCCAGATTCCCACTCCTACCCACTGGACCTGTGCCTCAGAGGCACTGGCATTTGGGGAGCAGAGCTTGAGGATAAGAGGTGGCAGAGAGCCTGGGGTGGGATGAAGCCCTGTGGCATGGTGTCTTGTGGGGTCTTGGCAGGGGCTGTCCCTGGCTTTGGGCAGGATGCCAGGGTGCCGAACTACTGCAGCTGCTGAATTTGGGCAGAATGGAGAGCAAGGCCAGAGCTACAGGGAGGGCAGGACCTGGTGTGACCTGCTTCTCTGGGTGGTTTTAAATCTGTTTATAAAGACATACTGGGTAGTTTTATAGAAATGTACCGTGTGGTTTAATCTGTTATGCAAACATACTTCTAAGGGAGAGTCCCAATGGGTGGAATGTTTCAACCTATCTCAATGTTACAGCTGTACAGCCTAAGTTTCGTGGACTAGCCCATCTTCCTTCCTTCCTCACCATGCCAAATGACCCATGGAAAGCTGTAGATCTTCAGTCTGTGGGGACAATCTAACAACAGCAACTTCTGGGGGTGCTGCTACAAGGTAGGGCCACATCTAACCCTATCAAACCATCCCATCAGCTCAGGTGTGCTGCTCACATGAAAAGCTCATGACTCACTGCAGAGACTTACTTGTCTGCTTCTTGGGAAACTTCCTGCCTGCAAGGCTGCCCCCTGAGACAACTAGACCCTCCATCAGCCAGGCCCAAAAATCACTTGCTGAATAGTTTTGGCTGAGGCTTTTTGACAAAATCTTCACAGATAGAGCCGAGAGGACAGGCAAGAAATATTTCTACTCTTCATGCCACAACTTGTTTTTTCATTATTTCTTCTTGTCTCCTTTTACACTCCAGGCATTTTTCTTTCTACATAGACTAATAGGAAGAAATGCTGTGTCCTACTCCAGTAATTTAATTTATTTTTTTTAGTTCTAATTATGAGCATTCACATAGCAAGTGACATTTATTGATATATGTTACCTTTCTGAAACACTAGAAAAGTATCTGGCCTGTTCTCTGCTAATGCTTAGATGACATTTTAGGAACAGGAACCACCCTGCAAAGGGCTGGGCATGTGCACAGGATATGAGCTGTCAGTGAAGTGTATTGAATCTGGTTTTGATCTGTTCATGTAATTTTCCAGGTGAGCCTTGGACTCTGCCTACGGTCTGTGCTCCCAGATGTCAGCCCACGATGGCAGATGGAGGGACACCCGGAGCTCTGCTTCCCCCAGGCACTGCACTGGGCATTTGCTGCTCCCAGAGCTGCCACACGCCACGGGACCCCCAGCTGCCGGATGCCTGACCCAGCTCGACTGCTGGTGGAGATGTGTTGGGGCTGGCTTTGCCCTGCTTGCTGCTGCCTGCATGCCTTATTCTTCTGACTTATGCCCCAGCCCACTCCCGTCCCATTGTGCTGCTGCCTCTGGGCTGTATTGAGTTTTCAATTATCACAATATACAATGCAGATGCTATGTAAAACAGCCAGCATCGCTGGAGCACGCTGAACTCAGTAGAAACACAGTTAAATAAAAGTAATACTATAATACCAGGAGGCTGATTGGAACCACAAGATACCAGTGTGATATCCTGTGGCTTTTATGTTGGTAGACCTAGATTTTAGCCATTAGAGTCTAGCTATCCAACAGATAACAACCAGAGAAAATGGGTCTGGGTATTTTCAATTGTGAATAACTGATACACATTTGCCAATAAATGGAGGACTTGGTAAACTGCCAGATGAAGAAAACATTTGACATACATACAAATATAATCAGGCATTTAATATGGCGTAGCATCTAACTATGTGTAACTTAAAGAAACTCCCTGATTACACACAATACCTTTAAAGTATACCATCAAGAGAGCTCTGACTTCAGACAAGCAATGTGTGGTTGCACTATCAACTCCAAATTCAGTCAAGGAGATAAACAGCAAGTGTGGGTCTCAACTTATATATTTGTACCAGCAGCAACAACCTCCCAGATGATAATGATATTGTAATATCTGTGTGGGGGTAAATGCTATGACAAAAGAGGAAGAAATAAGAAAAAATATAGTAATGTCAAGTTTGTCTGTTAACTTTTAGAAAAGCTCAACATCTGGAATTTTAGTATGTGTTATGCAGACGAATGTAAAGAGAGAAACATATTAACTGTGTTTTTCTACAAAGCAAAATGAAATAAGCATACAGAGCAAATTATTATATTTAGTACTCTCAGGGCAAATTCTAGTTGAGGATTGTGAAGTAATTTCAAAATATTAATGAATTAGCCTCACAGCTATCTTTCAGGTGGATAATAATGATAATTATTACTACAAATAAATATTATTATTATCAGTCTTGCTCCAAGAAATGAACATTGATGCATAGAGAATTTATGTCTTTGTCCCAAGTCTGTGTTTTACTACTGTAACCATCCTTCTCTAGAACTATCATATATTAAGATTATCATTTTCCAAATACTGTGTGTGATACTATTCACTTTATAAGGTCTAAAAACCAGCCAACTGAGCTTCCTTGTGAAACAGTGCCAGTGAACATCTCCATTTGCATTTGAATTCTCAAGCAGCAACAATCTGCAAAAAAAGAAGAAAAAAGGAATCATGAAAATCCGTACAAAATCTGTCAAGGCCCCATCTGTGACTGGGTATCAGAATATCACTAAGAAGCTCTGAGAAACAAAGTTCATTCCAAGTCTAACGCATAGTGCTTTTTGGTCGATGAAATTAATTCAAGCAGGGGTAAATGAGGGCACATACCATGAAAAACTCTGTTCCTCCACTGAGGGTGGAAGGAAAGCAGCATCACTGCTGTGTGTGTGGTCTTGGTTTTGGTGCACGTAGCTGTGTTTAAACACTAAAGGTTTTACAAGGCAAAATAATCAGTGTGCTCATGACTCCTTTTGATACCAGGTACACCTGCTGCTCTTCTGACGAGTATAAGGGAATGAGTGATCTCTGGTCCTGACAAGATGAGGACTTAGATTACATATGATTGTTGCAAAAAGCAGGCTTTTGTAGCCAGCTACCTTAAGTAGTACGGAAACAAAACTCCACCCTGGCCTTGAAAATCCCCTACAAACATATTTATTTCCTTCTGCATGGCAATATATAAAGGTTAGGAACACTTATTTGTAGGCTATTTTTACATCTCCTCTTCAGGATCTGAATCTTGCATATTAATGAATTAACTCAAGGAAACAGGAGAACCAAAACATTAACGCCATTCTAATGCACTCTATTATTTTTCTTTTCCTTTTTTTTACTGTTAGAGTATGCAAATGTTCAGTTAACTGGTCCTCATGTTTTCTCTTTATTGAATCGCTTTCACTACAGCAAATAAATATTCATAAAGAAATGTGGACAATAAATCATTTTAAATAGTTCAAAGCCATTTTCTTTCTAGACTGCATATATTTTCAGCTGTAACTCGCCTTTAATATTTCATTCAAAAGACAGACTTGTAGAAGGACAATAGAGATAATGTGTCAAGTAGTAATTAAAACAGGGAGTAATGATTAAAACCATTTTGATCTACATTGTGCTCTGCCAGATTCATAATCTCCTGTGTTTGTTAGGATGGCTTTCTACTTGCTTTATACAGAAACTCAAAATAAACTTCTGTTTGAAGACACCGAAGAACACAAAAGATTTCAACCCTGAGCTTGTGGGTCCAGAGCCCTTTCCAGTTCTGGAGTTCAGGTATATCTTCTGTACCATCCTAGCAAGATAAATGCAAGCAGGCACTATCCCTCCTGCTGATACTGTGACTTCTCTGGGAAGTAAATCCAGATGCAGAGCAGAAGACAAGGAAGGGCCACCCCAGTGTGTACAGGTAAATGTAACCCGTCTCACCATTTAGATTTAAGCTAAGAGCTTCAAAAGAAATGAAAGTTAAAGATAAGATTAGCTTATACGTTTAGGGATCTTGGTTCAAATCCAAGTAAGAATTGTGTTCCTTGTCTCATTGTATGTTTTGGTATTCATAAACATATTTGGCGCAAACTCATTCTCTTTTCTGATTTGTTGCTGACTTTAGGCCCTTATTCAACTTACATACAGACTTAAATAAATCGATTTAGGAAAGCATTCCTCTTTGTGTTTAATCTTGGGCAGACATTCAACTTTGAAATCAATGGGACTTATGAACGGCCCTGACCTTTGGGTCTAAATGGTTGCCAAATCAGTGCACTGATAGAAATATATTGGAAAAGATACTATCCATGTGTAATCAAAATTTTTGTCTCTACTTTCACAGGAAAATAACCCAAAGAGAACACATTATTCTGCTCAAGAAATTAATTTCATGGTATTTACTAGAAAGCCTTAATTCACATTTCCTGTTTATGCCAAAAATACCAGATGAACAGTGTTGTTCCTTGATAGTATATCTGTAATATTCTTTAAATGAAAAAATAAAATATAGGAAAAGAGCTGGCACAAAGCGGCATTCAGAATTACTTATTGATACCTTCTCAATTGCCCACCACATGGCAATCCCTTGGAGGACAGGCAGATGAAAGGCAAGGCAGAATAGTTCTGAAATCCCATGGACTTGAAGACAATGGCATATGGAATACCACATGAAACTCCTCCCTAAGAACAGTATTTATAAAGGCTGCCTGCCCAGTTTACATATGGAATTTTGAGTGATCACATGTGTTTATTACACAATGAGAACAGCTAGAATAAAGACATGGATGTTTCTAGTATCATAATGTACAGGTTATACAAGTGCAATTATAGCCAAATCTATGAGATTACAAGAAGTAGTTGGTAAAATAATTGATGCTATGATTCTACGAAATAAAATAGTCTTTTTACTGTTCTTAAAAATGTTTCACACTTATGTTCTATTTATAATATTATCAAGATAGCACATAGAAACTCTTGGATGTTGTTTATAGAGTTGAAACATGGACACAAAAGGGGAAGTAGATTATGATGGGTCTCATCATGTCATATAATTCAAAGCATGACGAGTACAAAAATCATAAGAAGACACAGGAAGTGTCAATAGGTGCTACCTCTCTGTACAACCATAGAGGAACATTGTGATTCACATTATCCCACTGGGTTCTGTGGGGCAAAGTTTGGGAATAACACATAAAACCCAGCTGTTTTGTGTTCACCTGGCTCATACAATCACATGTATCTATCCTAATGCTGCCTACACTTGCTTTAGAGGTGACAAATAAGGATTATGCCGCTGCTGTATTGGACACACATTGCATGCAAGCTCTGCATTGCCTGCAAGCCTCTGAACCAAAGTCCCTTTGATCAAAGGACAGATTGTAAGGGGAAAGCACAGTCCTCCTATGTAACTCTCAAATTATATATAAAAAAATAATAAAAAAACTCTCTGAAGCTCCCTTTTCTGACATGTCATCTACTGTGCCCCAGCAGAGGATGTTAGAGCAGATCTGAAGTACCAGTTGCTGCCTCTGATAGGCATTTCCATATATAGTCACGAATTGGAGCTCAAATTGCTAATTGAAATCAGCTGCCCTCAATGAAATCAATTAGTGCCTAGCAGGAGCAAAAGGCTTATAGAGCTCAAGGTGAGCAGGAACAGATCCTTGTTGGATGAAAGGCTTTTTCCAACGTGAAGAGAGAGGTCTCTTCAATCACGTCTAGCTTCTGCTGAAATCTTACCAGTATAGAGATCTTAATTCCAGAGGTATGTTTTGGAACTGATTTGAAGAGTTCGGGATTTCACTTTTTTCAACTTTCCTGATACCTTCGATTAGAGTGTAGTAATGGTTGTTCTATGGTGTGTGTAACATAGAGGTCACAAGAAAAAAAGTCCCCCCTCTTGCTTCACTAGTCTTTACAGTGTTATATCTTTTGAGGAACTAGAAAAAAAGTTACCTGCTCTGCTTTTGTAGCAAACAATATCCTCCTATGCCTATTCCTCTTGTTACAGTTTTTCTCTTTTTTAACTAATTAAGATTTTTATTTGTATCTGAAAATCCCTTAGATGACTCTGCCTTTTGGATATTTTTTTTTGGTTCTGCTTCTAATGTTAGGTCAAATTATGAATTTTAATTGATTTGGACTGTTTTCTTCAGAGACAGGCAGACTTTCAACTGCTGAACTGCTGGATGCTTAACATCCTAATCACTTTAGCTTTCCTCATTATCCTCTTTTACTTAAGAAAGACTAGTTCGCTCTTTTTTGAACATGTAATAATAAGAACCATGCCAAGGCATGCTAATCACAAGGAAAAATGTCCTACAGATGCTCAATTTCATATGCTTTTAGCAAGAGCATAGCATATATTATTGTAGTTCCCTATGGAGCAAAAGTAGTTCATTGTGTGTTGCACTATGTTAACTTCATGCCCTGATGTAGTACTCAAGCTAATGTGGGCAGAAATGTAACATAGACTAATATGTAACATAGACTTAATATGGAAGAAATACTTCTTAATGCTCATCCAAAGAAGTGGGGAAAGAAAAAATTTCCCACTAGTAGCATACTTCCTTTTTTCCATGTTTACCTGGAAACTGAAACCACCTGAGATAAAGTAGGTGGAAAGGACAAGTATGCATCTTGCATTGCTGTTTGATTGATTTCATTACATTCAAAGCATCTTTATCAGAAGGATGTTTGTTTGTGAGCTTTTTGTTTTTTCTTTTTTATATTTTTTTTAATTTATTTTCCAGTGCTCTGGCTTTTCTCCAAACAGGATGATAATTCTAACTTATAGCAGATGTAGTCCATCCCCTAAGACTCAGGATCAATCAGAGAGAAGGTGACAGTTCTCCTTAACATCTTAAGATTTACTCTGGTTTAAAAGGCTGTTTTGTGTCCTGCAGACCCATTATTTACTAAAATAAATGCTGCAAAAGCAGTCATAATCTGCTTGAAAATTAACAAAACTAGATTGACTTTATACTCAAAAATAAACTGTTCACAGAGGAATAAGAAAAAAAAGGACTCCTGATGCTTTGACAGAGTTAAAAGCAAAAGTTCCACATGGAACATGGGCAAGAGAGAAAAGAGGATGAAAAACAGGTGGTAGAATGGAGAGAAGGGGAGGGGATAACAAAACAAGAGGAAAAGTGTATTTAAGGCAAAAGCTTATACCAAAGAAGCATGTGCAGCCCTGGGTGTAAGCTTGTGGCACTTCAAAAAAGTTATGACTAAAAAAACCCCAAACTCTACTGTGGTGTGTATATTGATAACAGAGTGGTATCTGTATTGTAGCAACTTCAGATGCCCATTTATTTCAGTAGGAATCAAGGTGTTACATACTACAACTTGGCCTAAATAGACTCATATTTTGAGTACTTTTCTTTGCTCTTTGTATTTGGTATAGTAGAAAAGCAACCATTAGCTTAGCTGGCAGCCTGCAAGCTGCTGTGGAGTAGTACAACTGAGCCCTAACATAGTTGAGAATCTGGACCTAAATGTTCCCTTAAAATAACAGGCACATGAACGGTCTGGTTTGCCTTTCAAGTTGGCAGTAGTTAATTGAGGAAGACTTTAATCAGTACTTCATGTGGTTTAAACCTGATGCAACCAAGTAGCCTGCCTCTGAGACACTTTACAACAGAGGTTTGCAATCTTCCTAGGACTCAATGGCATTTTGATGAATAATATTTCTAGCAGGCTAATTTTCTAGCTAATTATCATCAAAGACGTAGACAGACTTTCTGCAGTACTAGATATGCTTTGGAGAAAAAAATCCCTTCAATCATGGGCAGAAGGAAATTACAAATTCATTGATATAAAGATTTTCAAATCTTGAACTAGTGGTTCATTACAATATCTTGGTGGTAAAATATAACATCTTATACATGATAGACAACAAAAATAACATAACTGATTTTGAAATTAAAAATCACAATCCATGGACAGAGTCCTAAATTGTAAATTAAAAAATAAGATGTAGCAATTTTAAATGGCATACTGTGTTTTCCTCCAACAAAAGGGAATGTTTTGATCAAAGTGATTCTATGCATTTTTTGTTTTGCTGACTGCTTTATTTCAATCTTAAAAGAAAAATAAACCCTACAATAAAGCTTAACAAAATTCACAGGTCTGAATAGAATTTACAGCACTTGTTATCCCAAGTATATTCTTCCTATTCCAAAACACTTGGAGGTTACACTTAGTCATAAACGTCTCTAGTCTATCTCTCTTCATTCTATTCTGTGCAAGTACTATGAGATGGAGGAACAGACTTAAAAGAAAAGAAGTCTTATTGGAAGGAACAAAGCCAGGTATGTCTCTCTCTGCCACAGTCTGCATCCTTTCAAGTTCATACTGCTGATATCAATGCTTGTCCCTCACAAGATCACAACTACACCTGTAGTGAGTACTATTTGCTTAGTGTCACATTACTTGAGCAGTGCAAAATCAGATCCAAGGAAAATTGTGTTACCATGGCTTTAATGGGGGTGGGGAAGCTTAGCTTTAAATGCCTGGTATGTACTTGCAAAGCATATAACTCAAACCCAGAGTAGCAAACAAACGTAACAAACAGATGGGCCAGCCAGTCTGTTACAACGTGGTTCAACTGCAGGTCTGGCTCCGTGTGTGTGGGAGCTCCTTAGTCAGTCTTGATTGTCATAGCTCCATTGACTTCAGTATTTACAATACCTTTGTTTACAGGATTATGATTAATTTCTTCTGTGGTTGAGAAAAAGAATAAAAAATAAAAAGACCTTTTAAATCCTGTGATATTCTGCTCCTTTCAGGCTTATAACAAACATCCAGGGACAGTGATATAGGTTCTCTCTGCAATAAGTGTGAAATTACAAGTATGCATATGTATGTGATCTCATTGTCAGTATTTGACAAGTTAAAAAAAATTGTTTTGGCTATAGAAGCTATTGATGTAGGTGTTATGAGGCATGTGGGAAGGGTCCTTCAAGTTTTTGGAATGCTTAAAGCAGGAATTTGCTGTGTGGGCTAAAAGGACTATACCTGCGACCCTCTCTCCCTTCATGAGGCCCAGCCAGGTAGAGATCACACTTCCCTAGCTGGCTG